TGATTAACGATAAATAGCGTGTAATGTCAACTGAGGCTTCGCAAGACGTAGATAATGGGGATGACGAAGAGGCAACGATTGATGTGGATGAGGAAACGGCTGTCTCGATTTTCGTGCTTCAGATAAACGAATTAGCACAAGGTTTAGACCAAGCAACGAGGGACGAGATTTTCTCAAAAGGACGGGCAATAACCGACAAGGTCGTGGAAATACTGGCAAACAATGCTATAAGACAGGATGCGTTAAACAGGGAGAACGAGGAGTGGTTTAAAATATTCCAACAGCAAAATAAACGCATTGCTGAGTTGGGGGGCAAATCATTCTGCGCGGTCGCTCCGCCAAAACAAACCGTAGTATCACATATTTCCGTAAAATTTCGCATACATTCTGTCCACTAACATATCTTTTGTAATCTGAGCAGGTACTGGAACAGAGGTGGGTCTTCTCTTTTTTGGTTTTGGTTTGACAATTGTCTCTTCTTCGCTTGAAGATGATTCCTCGATGTAAATAACCTTTTTCTTTGGTTTCTGTCTTTTCACATATACAGTTTCAGTTTCTGGTTCTGGTTCTTTTTCGACTTTTGTTTGTGCTACGGGAGGTTGCTCCTTTACAACAGGGGTCGTTTCCTCGGTTGATTCCGTAATTCTTTCCAGTTTCTCACTTACCAGTGTCGCCTGTTTCTTTGCTTCAAGGTCACTGAGCAATTTAGCATCCCTTTTATCTTTTGCTTTTGCTCGACGAACCTCGAGTGCTTTTTCCCGTGCCTTCGCTAATCGCTCTAAAGTTGCCTCATCCTCAATCTTTTCTCCCGCTTTCACCATTTATAGACAGATAAGATTTTTTGTTTTCTAATCGGTTCTACAAATTTGGTGCGTTTTCTTGCTTAGCGGTCGGGTGCGGGGATGAACACACGGCGGGTATCCGCACGAACTTGCCCAAACATCGCACTGTTATTTACAGGCAGTAACTTTCCTGGTCGATTCAGAGGTAAATCACTAATCATTGATATTTGCCCACGGGCGTTGCCGTAGGGCGCTTGAGCATAATTCATATAGGTCCAGGGGTTCAAATTTGCCGCATTATAAGTTTCCTCTGTTGTATTCATCGTGCCATCCTGAATGGGACTCATCGTCGGAACGGCAGACAAAGCGGTGGAATTCGCATTCATTCGGTCATTCTCTTTATACACAGTTGGGTCGGCAAATGGACGAAAATTGACAGCGGGAGCAAACGGCACAAAACTTGGGGTTTGGGTCATATCTACATTATTTTGTGTTGTAATTGGCGGAGTCGGTCGAACAAAACCCATTTATTATGAATACACATAAAAATTCATCTATGCCACAACCGCTATAGAACGAGATGCTCCAATTCGCAACATTGAGGTGGATTCAGTGACAAGCCATACTTGACGTTCCCAATTCTCACCAGCAACATTATTGCTTGTGGAAGTAAAGGCAATTTGCGAATTTATAGAGGCTAAATTGAGACCAGATATAAGACGAGGGTCATCGTCGTGATTTAGTTTTTGGACAGCAACCCAACAATTATCTTTCCAAGTGGCTTGAGAGCCGACCAAAGAGCCTCTATATTTGCTGTATTGACGGTCACAACTCGCAACAGCATAGGCATACGCATCGACAGTGTCGGGCTTGTAAAGAGGATATGGCGCATTGTTTATTTGAAAGAACCAATCTTGTAAACCTGACGATATGAAATTTAGACCAGCATTGGTAAAGCCAAAAGTGGTATTTCCCACAGCGGGAACGGGCGCTTGTTGGATATAATATTGTTCGTAAGGAGACCCACCGGCTTTTTTCTCTCCGCTATTTCGCTGGAACGCAAAAACTTTATCAAGAGACATTGTTGAGACCGAACCGCGAATACTGCCACCCGCACTGGACTGGTCTGTCGTAAATGTGTTGAAGTTTTTATAGGGCACATCCAACGAACCTTTTTCTTCAAGTAGACGACTTGTTAACGCATCATATAATCCGTTTCCGATAGAGATAACTTCAATTGTAAAAAAGATGTTGTCAATTGTGTAACTACAGCCGTTTCCACTAAAATTGGGATTTGCGTTTACAGCCGCTCCTCCCAAAACTGCTCCTTCATATTGGACAGGTAAGACACTTGGGCTTGTTACTTGGATAGTAAGAAACACTTCGGGGAGGCGGTTCAAATCGAGAAACGTCGGCTCACATCCACTAAAACCCAAGAAATTAGCCAAAATGAGTTGTTTTTGCTGACCGAAATTCGCCGCTTCATATGTGCCTGTCTCATCAATAGATTCTAAAATTGATTGATTTAGCACCTTATCATCACTCATATATTTGGCTGCTGACTTTTCAATATTTTCTTTCATTGTAGATACAACATTATAGCCAGAAAAACCACTGTCGAGCGCTATACCACCTGCCGAAAATGTCAGGCGGTCTATAACCGACGCGAAACCATTTTTAGGAATTAAAGCAAAAACTCTATCACTGCCACTGGCATCGGATGGACCAATGCCTGTTGTCGAAAATGTTCCGTGAAACGCCAAACTTTTCATATTGACCAGCGCATTGACAGGCAAGGAAAGTCTCAATTGTGATGCCCCACCACTCGGTACGCACGAATTACGTGACCCAAGGCAGGAGGATTATATTACAATGAAAATTGGATATGACATTGGAGAAAGGGATGCCAAAAAGGTCAAGGTTATCGCAGACATCATTGAGAGCATTTTTCCTGACGAGGATGTCAGAGAGAATTACATTTGGTATATTTCCACGGCTCTCTATGGCGTTGTTCTTGAAAAGTTAGTTATTGCCAATGGAGGCGGAGGCAACGGCAAAGGACTCTTAAACGAACTTGTCCACTGTATGCTCGACGTGTTTAGTTACATTGCTCCGAATCATTTACTAACTCGAGAACTTAAGAGCGGTAGTAATCCTGAAATTGCTAATATGATGAAAAAACGAGCCATTTTCTATCGAGAGCCAGATGTGTGAAAAAACTAAGTCCCGTACATCAACTTGACGTTAAGGTACAGTCCGTAGTAGCAGGATAGGCACAGTGGGTGAGAGGGGAAGCTCAGTGTGCTACCTTACGGTAGCGCAGTCATAAGATAGTAACTGATTATAAAGGAGGGGGAACGGGAAGGAAGGCCTAACTAGGGTAGGTACAGTACTAGCATGATGGTAGTAGGGTAGTGGTAGTGTAGCGTACTGTACTACAGTATAGTCATGGAGATATAGAGATAGAGACTCTCGGAGAGAGAGACAGACAGCAAGGTCAGTCTATATTCTTTGCACTCCCCCATCATAGTTGCCCTGTGATCAATGTACTTGTAATGATCGTGGGGAGCTATGATAAATGAGCTATGTCTCCAATCGAGCTAAGCGTTCCTGCAAGTCCGCAACAAGATTTTCCAACGTCAAAACACGGACAGCTAAGTTTGGCCGACCTGGAAGTGCCAAGTCTTGATCTGGCACCACAGGAGATTCCTGTAAGACTGTAGGTGGATAAAGCATTGCTACCTGCGCTGTCGGCTCTGAGAAAAACTGTTGATCGTCGCCTGTCTTTTTGATGAGGCATAAGAGAAATGAAAGGAAAAGATGTTAGATCAGACCCGGTTGCGTAGAAGATAGCGTAAAGCGACAAGGACAGTAGCGATAATCGATATCGAAGATAGTCAATGACGAGGGGATAACATGTCATCAAAGTTCTCTTCTTCAGGATCATAATCTTCATCTTTTTCCTCTGGCTGACCTTCATCATTTGATGCAATTGGAGTAGTTGGTGGAGTTCGACTCTGGATTGTAGCAGTCCCAGTATGCGCTGCAATCTGATCGACTGTATCGGTAACGTGGCTAAGTGCAGTGGTAAGTTGAGAGATTCTGGAGGCTAGGTTTGCTAGCTTGCCATCAATTTCCTTCGTTGTAGTCTCGAAAAGAGTGCGTTGATCTGCCAAAGCGTTGAGTATGGTCGGAATAATCAGGTTACCCGCTATCTTCAAATCCGCATCACTGGGAGTTGCACCCGAAGGCACAGCTGCAGTAGCGGTAGGAGGATCGGCAAACGTAAACTTGGAAGCGTCGAGTTTATTATTCTCTACTATGACATCGCGGAAGTGAGTGATTTTGAAAAACTTCAAAGACTTATCAGCATCGGAGAGTATGGCCTTATACTTTTCATTGTTCCAATGCCGCTTCTGTTTTAGTAACTTTGCGTATTTATTTTTAGTTTCGACCAATTCATTGGTGATGCCTTTGCCAAATGTGTCAAAGAAACACTTCCCTGGAGCCTAGAACCGCCCACCTGCTCTCGCTAACATATCCCGCCGGATCCCACCAAATAACTACCGTTTTTGCTTGTTATAAACTTGTTTACATGTGGTTTCCTCTATGAATGATTATTTTTCATACTATTGTTTTCTTTGACAATGAAACAAATGATTATCTTGCCAAATATCTCTCTGCAACACAATTCAATCCATTCATAAAGCATTAGCATATTGACCAAAAATCCAGCGAGGAAAAAGGCTGATTGGATACCTCTCTCTCTATCGCCGTCTTTTCTCAGCTATATTCTGCATCCTTCGCAATGACTTTTTAAGGTCGAGAGCTGATTCAAGCGGCCAGGCACCAGTTTAGCTTAGGGCTCGCAACTTCCCGCAAGTCGAGATTCGTCACAGTATGGGTAGTTTGCATCATGGACATGGCAGTAGTCTGTGTCACAGAAGTACCCCGTCTGTTTGCAGAGAGCTCGAATTGCGGCAAGTGTCCTATCTTGAAGAGGTTTATTCTGTGATGGACTCGTGGCATGATTCCCTGCATAAAAGAATGACATCAGCGCTTTCTCGACATGACCAGCTGTTGGGTTCCATGGTGGCCATGGACAGGCCAAGCGTGTTCCAGGAGCAGTGGCGTCGTTACGCGGCGGGAAAGCGCCCAGAGCTTTCGTCTGACCAGGGCCTCGTTGGCAACCTCTGAATGCGCGTGAAAAAGGAGTCTATGGCCCGAGCCAACAACGCCGATGGCTGTGTTTGTCACAGACCTCATAGTGTTTGGAGTGAAGAGAAGGCCCAGTCATCTGGGTGGGCTGTTTTCCACCGAACCACAATGCATCAAACCCCAGGCCCTGTCTTTGAAGCACAATATTACGAGGATCCTTCGCTGGAGTGCTGAGGTGCACACGTTGGTCCAACGCTGACGACGCGAAGTTTTGTAGCGTCATCTCGCATGCTCCACACTTGCCGATGGCAGCGGCTATATTATCGTGATTCCACTTTCCGTCCGAGGGTTTACTCCCACATTCAGAGGAAGAGAGGTAGCATAGGTCGGTTGCACATACTTGTCCCTATTGTTTTTGATAATCTCTTTGTAGCTTAGGTGTCGCGCTACAGCAGCGATCCCACCGCCACTGCGGCGTACTAGCATCAGAACATCCCAGGCATCATCATTTAGTTTGATCGCGTCGCTTTCGTGATTTATATCGTAGTGGCTCTCTGAAGCGCAGAAGCTCTTATGAACGACTCAACACGAGCATTCCATCAGCTCCTTGACGTCTTCACAACGCGCCCAAGTGCAAGCTCCAAAGAACCTGCCTCTAAGGCTAGTGCAGTGTCTACGGGTGTCCCGCGATTGATCAGCTCCGCAAGAGTACGAGCCGCAACATGTTCCGGAGAGTTCACATCGAACAGGAAATTGTTTTGCACCAACAACGCCAGAAATGTCCCGAGCCACGAACGATTACCACTCGTGAGACTCTACACGAAGTCCTCCACCTGCCGGCACTGTCCGGGAATAAACCTATTTATCTCGCCGCGCCGATCGACTCACTACAAATGAATCGACACGTCTCCCGAATTCTGGAATGTGCCGCTAATGCCTAGCCATGCGCCTACGAGCATTAACTTCTTCCGAGTCACTTTGCCAACTTAAGTATGTTCTTGTCGTAAAGCATGACTGTTACTTCTGCAGGGTAGGCCTTGCCCTCCCGCTATTCCATTTTAATCTCCCCGCTTTCCCCCCTGCCTTAGCGCCGCAAGCGGCTGGGTTGAATTAAAAACGCGGTCCATGATGCTGTTGAAGATTCCAAGCCATGGTGGTTGTGCGGCCAAGACGACGTTGTCAGCTTTCCTGAAGATGCAGCATAGTCTAGCTAACATCATCAACAACCAACGTTACCCTTTGCTCGCTAATTTACTGGATTATATCTTTGGATATATTCTGTATATACCCTAACCCTAACCCTAACCCCAACGCTCTGGCCGTGTTTAACTTGCTTAAAGTAGACCCTACAATACGTGCTCCTCCGAAACCAACCTACGCTGCGACGGTTAGCTGTCAGCCTAGCTGTCAGCTAGCTCGGCTCGTCTAGGTACCCCTCTAGCCCCCCTGGTTAAGCTCCTACAATATCACTCGCATGCGCACTTGATGGAGCTGATCGAATTTGAGCTCGACGAAGCTCATCGGGTCGATAATCACGAGCCGGCGGAGGAATTGAGAAATAATCGGGAACAGCGTTCGCGATATATATCATTCTTCTTTGACAACCTTTCTGCCGAGCGGTTGACCACGGTATGCTACGGTTCGATCTCAGTGATGCATGCCGTTGGTGCGATGCTACCGCCACTGTTGGTAGGCTTGCTTATGGGAACCGCAATAAATGAGAGGCAAAGCGTGTCCCGCAGAAGAAGACTGATTAATTTTTATTCTTCATGCTTAGCAGTGTCCTACAGCATGAATGCGACTTTACTGTGCTTGAAAGTCTCTGTACAAAGTGCTCTGTCAGCCCGAATTCTGACTAGAATCCAATTACAACTTTTTGATGCAATTCTCATACAAGACATCCAAACTTTTGACGAAACTAGGGTTGGTGACCTCTTGGAGAGAATGAGCACCGACGCTTTGATTGTGAAGGATGCCATGGCGCGCTCGGTCATCAACTTTTTAGAGGGACTAATCAAGTTATCTGTCGCTCTTGGATTTATGACATGGGCCAGTCCTATCCTAACTGGTATATTGCTGACTTGCCTGCCAATATTGGTCCTCATCTCTGTACCTATGTCTAGGGCACTGAAGTCAGTCGCTCGGCAATTGAGTGAGGCGAAAGCAGCAGGCACGAGTATAGCGCAGGAAATGATATCTTCTGTGCGCACGGTTCGTGCCTTTGCCTCTGAAAGTCTGGCCCGCAAGCTCATCTCGAATTTCCTTGTGGGCCCGCAAGTGGAGGAACACAGGAAAGCGCCCCTGCTATGTCCAACTCTTGAAGATGTGCCGTGGCATTCCACGTGCTTCAAGTTACTTCGGGGCAAAGATATTGAAGGTCAGACTGTCATTCGGCTGTCGTGTTTTCAAGGCATGCTCGCGGGTCTTTTTATTTGTGTGCTGATGCTCACCGTCTTTGGGGTTCTCAGTATAACAATTTGGCTGGGTTTCTTGGCTGTACTCGACGATCAGCTGGACCCTGGTGTTTTGTTGAGCTTCTTCTTGTATGCTTCTTTTGCGGTCGGATGCACCATGGGCTTACTAGCAGCCACCGCTTCTTTAATGAGTTCGCTTGGAGCCGTATTGCGCATCACTGCGATTCTAGATCAAGAACCTGTGATACCTATCTGTGATATGAATGCATTACGGCCAAGTACAATCAAAGGCCGCATTGAGTTTAAAAGTGTCCACTTTGCCTATCCATCAAGGCCACTGGTCCCTATATTGCGCAACTTTAGCCTATTGATACCCGCAAACAAAGCAACAGCGCTAGTAGGCATGAGCGGGGGTGGGAAATCTACAGTGTTATCTGTCTTGGAGCGCTTCTATGACGTTGCTGGCGGGCAGGTCGTCCTAGATTATCACGACATTACCACCTTAGATCCATGTTGGCTGCGGCAGCGCATTGCCTACGTGCAGCAGGAACCAGTCCTCTTCTCTTGTTCAATCGCTGAGAACATTAACTTTTCCCGCCGTGCGCAATCTTCACGTGACAAATCGACCAGGCGTAACTCTGTTGCAAGTACTCTCACCAACACTGATATGGTGAAGGCCGCAAAGGAAGCGAATGCATTTAAATTTATTGAAAATATGAGCGATGGATTTGAGACCGAAGTCGGTGAGCGTGGCATGCTGTTGAGCGGAGGTCAAAAGCAGCGCATTGCAATCGCGCGCGCCATTGTATCCAACCCGCGAATTTTGCTCTTAGACGAAGCGACGTCCGCGCTGGACTCGGAGTCAGAAGCCCTTGTACAGCAGGCGTTAGATCGATTGATGATTTCCCGCACCGTGGTTGCCATCGCCCATCGCTTGAAAACAATTGTCAACATGGACCAAATATCATTGCTCTCACGAGGCGAGGTGGTAGACTCGGGATCTCACGCTGACCTATTGCAGCGCTGTGCTGCATATCAGCAGCTTGTGCGTGCCTCGACTCACTAAATTTGGCAGGTGCGTCTCTACTGTCGGTCTGTTGCATCATTTTGTTCGATTTATTTGGTGGAGAACCTTACCTTTATGGATAGCCTTGGAAGCACCTGGGATTTGGAATCAAACTAACCCCAGCCCGCCCAGCCCTCGCACCCCTCCCGCCGAAGCGCGAATTAAAAACGCACCACTCCGGAGTTGCGACCGTGAACGGAGCCTCCAGTTGTGTACGACTGCAGGTGGAAGGAATGGAGAATGGTAAGATGGCTATCAAAACCAGGTACTCTCACTTGACGGGGGGGCAATACCATTCAAACGTCGGGGCAAAGTTTCCTGGCCACCCGATTTTTGTTGCAGCACTTTTGATGCATTTTCGGACATGGGGCGACGCCCCAGAGCCACTCGTTCAAAAATATCTCTGCAACAAAAATAATGAAGGGCTTCGGACAAAAGCTCAGAGCCACTCGTTCCAGAGTGGTGCTTGAATCGTATTGCCCCCCGGGCGTCACTTAGCGAACAAGGATTGCGGGCCTCGGAGAAACGCGTTGCAATGCCGCACAAGTATTGCTAATTATGCCTCGGCTTACGCCCCTGGCCAATGCTCCTCGCCCCCTCCTGGCCGAAGCAGCATCGTACAAGCAGCCAAAAAAGTCCTCTCCACGAGTGCACGCGGCGACACCGGAGGAGAAGCAAGAGGAGTGGAGCTACAATGTGTCCACGGGCGTGGCGAAGCATGCCTTCCAAGAGACGCTTGGGTCCGAGTATGGCGTCATTTTTTCCGGCGCGGACGCAGACGGAGCCGGCGAGGTGACGACGGAGGATCTCAAGCTCTTTGCCAAAAAGGTCGCGGAGACGGAGCTCAAGCGCGCCCAGGAGGACCGGCGCCTCTCGAAGATGATCACGCGCGCGGTGGGCCAGGGCGACGACCTCGACGCGTCGCTCCTCGAACAGTAAGATCCAGCGATTTTTTTTGCCGGAGAATTCTTTTTAACCTTGGGAGACGCCCGCGCAGGCTGCAGACGCTCGACGAGAACGGGGACGGCGAGATCAGCGGCGACGAGGTTGTGATCTTCGCCAAGAACTTTGCCGCGCAGCAGGTGACCCTCGCCGAGGAGCACGCGCGCGCCGAGGCCGCCGAGGCCGAGTCGAAGCAGCTGCGGACGCGCCTCGGCTACGCGCTCGGCGCGATCCTCGCCATGAGCGCGCTGCTCACGCGCGCCGCGGCGCGAGCGGGGGCGGGGGTTGACCAGGCGCGGCGCGACGCCGGCCGCAGGTACTATGCTCCTGCCGGTGCGTGTCAGGCGGACACCCTAAAAGATGCCGACTATTATTTCAAGGCTACATGGTACAATGGCACCGATTTGAGATGTGAGACGACACCAGCGTCAGTCCGAGGTTGGTACTATTTAAAATGTGAATGTACCATGGGCTTCTTGTGGGTCTTGAGTCCCGTTATTTGTTGTTGAATGGCAAGAACGTCTCCATCTGCTCAGGTGCCTTGAGAACTCAGCTTATCCGGTCTTTTGTCCCGGTGGATTTTTTTTTGAACGTCCATTCAGGTATCAGGAATGCGAGACTGGCTATTATTGCAAAAGAGGTAGTGTAGCACAGATAAGCTGCCCACCACATTCAACATGTCCTGCTCGATCAGAGGTCCCATCGGTAGGAATTAATATATACACCCTTGTATTTATCATCATTGCGATGTTTATGATGTTTAGTGCAAAAACCTTGCTGCACAATCTGTGGCTGCGAGCAGAAAGGGTGCTCATGGAGGATTCATTGGAGACTAGAGCCAGTGGAGTTGACATGGAGCCTACAGATGCGTCGCCGAAACTGAAGAATAAGTTCACAATAGAATTCTATGATCTACACTGTAGCTTACGAAACGGCATCACGATCTTAAACGGGGCCTCCGGGACGCTCTCATCTGGCTCATTTACCGCAATTATGGGCGCTTCTGGAGCTGGTAAAAGTACACTCATGAACGTCATTGCTGGACATGTTGGAAAAACAAGTGGAAAAATATTGGTGAACGGTGTTGAATGTGCTAGTCTGAGATGTGTCAAAGCGGAAGTTAGTTTTGTTCCTCAAGAAGACATTATGCACCGAGAGCTGACGGTATTGCAGAATTTAACCTTTTCTGCTGCAATTCAGCTCCCCCGGGAAACAAGTGAGAGACAGCGAGGGCGTTGCGTCTACGACACGCTAATCAAGCTTCACCTCGAACATGTACGTCACAACACTGTTGGTGATGAGATCCGCCGGGGCATTTCGGGGGGCCAGCGTAAACGTCTCAATATTGGTCTTGACCTCGTCTCGTGCCGCTCTATACTATTTCTTGATGAGCCAACAACAGGCCTCGATGCTGTGACCGCTACAGAAATTGCTCAAATACTGACCACAATTTCCAAAGAGAGCATGATGACGATCACGGCTGTGATTCACAACCCGGGTGTCCGAGCATTCAGCCACTTTTCTGATCTAATTCTACTACAAGCTGGCGGTCGAGTGGCTTTCGCCGGTGGCATGGAGGATTGTGAAGGATATTTTGCCTCTCTTGGATTTCGTCGAGATTTGGAAGTCGACGGACCGTTTCCGGACTTTGTGCTCCTCTGTCTGTCAGGCGACAGGCAACCATTGGGCGAACCAACTTGGGACTCGAACAAGTCGTTTTCTATTGCGTGGCTCCAATACAAATCCAGCATGAAGGAAGGGGGCATGCCAATGCACCACCCTACTATGCTACCCCCATTTAAAAAGCAGCCTCCTAGCTTCAAATTTCAATTTATGCTCTGTCTTGAACGCGCCATCATGCAGGCTTACCCTTCCTTGCGACATTTTATCCGCCTCTATCTTTTCGCCCCGTATCTGATGGGTATTGTACTTGGTCGCATCATTGGTAACCCCCTCGCTCACAATGTCGTTGGTGCACATGCGACAGATATCTGTCGTCAACAGCACCCTGATTTGATTGAGAGATGTCAGGATCTTCAACAAAATGGTTACATGAATGCAATTCAACCGTGCGGGTTCAACGTGCTTGCCTTGTACGGTTCAGTGGCCAGTGGCACGTTTGGGAAAGAGACGGTGATATATATCAGGGAGTGTTCATACGGTTTGAATAGGTTAGCATACTATTGCGCCAAAGTGGTTGCAGATGTTCCAAGAATATATTTTTCAGCTCCCGGGACCTCTATGGGGTTTACGCTCCGATTTGTGTCTGCGTTGAGCAACCGTGAAATACTTTGCGGCTTCACTATACTTGTAACCTTTGCCTATATAATCGGCTATACTGTTTCCTTCTTGTTTCCTTATGAGAAGTGCAGCCTCATTTGTGTGTGCTTTGGTTTGTGCATGGGCAGCACATTTGGAGGTGTGGCCATGAATGGTAAGAAGCCTAGGTATGCCCTAGTTATCACACCCGTAGTTATCACACCCCGCATGCCGCACATCCCCAAAGATTTCGCAAGAATTGAAGAGAACGCAGTGCAACAACATGGTGATATGATCTGAAGTCCCTACAGCCAGCGCTGTGCAAATGTAGATCTGAATCGGCTCAGCCTGAGCCTCACGTCCAACAAGCGCAATATGGAGATAAACTAGGCTTTCCCCCTTGCTCGCCCAGTTTTAAAACAGCACCCGCCACAGTTGCACTTCGGAGGTTGGCCCCATAGATGCACAGTATTTTCCCCACGGTTTAGGGCAGAGCAGACTCATTTCTCCGAAGGTTCCGTCCAGCCAGGTATGAATGTTAAACGCGACACAGTTTCGTCCTCCGCGAGTCCCCATCCTGCGGGACGTGACCGCGGCATTGATCCCTCATGGCGAGGATACTAGACCACCACATTTTATTGCCGACTCCAGTCAGTTTACATTCAGTAAGACCATCCAAGAGAAACGTAATCTACCCCGTTAGTGTATTCTTTGATTAGATCAGTGACTAAAGCATCGTTAAGTTCGTCGAATTCAACTTCACCGGTCTTGTCTTTGTCATAATTAGCGAATGGAGTATCAATAATAGTTCGCAAGCGCGCATCGTGTTCGTCTCCTGCCTTCGGCAGGGGGATCTCACTTTATCCCTCCCCTCAAAAGAAGATTTTCCTGGGGTGCGCTCAGGCGCACAATACTAGAAGAGGATGTCAGCGACAGACGATACTCGTACTCGAGTACGAGATATTATCTTCTGTCTCTCTCCTCTGTATCCTGAATATCCTGGCTGATATATCCTGGCGGCTATATCACCTGCACATATTTCGTTCTCTACATGATGTAGCTCTGGTTTTGGTTGCGATCACAGTGCACCTGCTACCATAAAAGACGGCGATTATTGTCGTCAGAACGCGAGTGTGACTAAGCACAATCAAAGTGCGCTTGGCGATAAGCCAGCTACCTAGGGAGCTTATATTCCGCTCCTTGCTCGGGACTTATGCTGGGACGCTATACTAGCCTATGCTGGCTATGCTGAGTCTGCCTTATAATATCGCCCCGAAGGCGCTTTCCTTTTCCGAAATCAGAAATGGAAGTGCCTCCTCGTCTCTGCCTGCCTAGTGTGGTATTAGCAGGTTCGGCTCTTCGACGAAAATCTGTGGCAGCAAATATTTTAAAGAAAACGCTCACCCAGTAAATATGATCCAGAATTGTGATGGAGAGTGCTGGAAGTAACGGCAACATTTTACTGGAGTGCACAGGGATAATGCAGTATCAATAGAATTTCTTCTGCATCCAACGGGTCATCACCTGGAGGAGTCGAGAAGGCTCCAATTACTTGTGTTTAAGAAACTTCTTCAAATCACGTTTTTAAAATAGGCTGCCGTTCAGTTTTCTTGGCCTTGGCACATATGACTTGCATTTTCCGACTTCCATGCTTCTTGCGTGACATTTCATCGGTGTGTGCTGACTAATGAGACCCTTATGGAAGACTGGTGGTCACTAGCGAACTAAATATAGATGAGCTCTATAATATCCTCCTTCGCTTTTGTGATATTTGCGCTACCCCTTGCCAAAGTATTGTCGATATCAATCAGACCGCAGGGTTCGCTTTGAGGGAGGGGGGGCGATGTCACACTGGCTTCTACATGGAACTCTGATTTCCTCGATGAGGATTCAGTCTGCTTGGAGGATTCCCCTTTATAAAGCTCGCAAGCCACGTTTGCGTCTCCTTGGTCGGCCAAGAGGTGCTTATCGCCACCAAGTTTGCGTCTCCGCCTCCGACGCCTGAGGCAGATTAAGAGACAGACAAACAAAACAGCTGCACCAATGGCATAAGCCTGAGTTCTGCTGAATGAAGATGTTTCAACAACCTTAGACTCAAGTTGAAAGGTGCTTGGAGCAGCCGTAGGTTGTGCTCTTGGGGATGGCGTGGGTGCACTTGTGGGTGCGAACGAGCTGGTGGGTGGCGTGCTTCCCGATGGACTCGTTGTTGGTCGGTCGGTGGGACAAATGCAGTGAGTACAGTCACATCCGAGTTCACCGAACTCTAAACAGTTGGATTCTGGATAGATACCTAGAAGATCAGCGCAGCTAGAACCATAACAATTCGGAACACAGCGATCTCCAGTTGGTTTCGGTGAGCGCGACGGGGCATATGAGATCGTTGGTTCGTGGGAGAATGTAGGTGACGCAGTGGGAACGGGGGATACTGACGGGCTGGGGGTTGCTGTGGGAGGAAGAGTGCAGCCTCCCGCGGCTGCTTTTCCCATATGGAGCTGGACCGTTGTCAAAAACGGAGAAATACCAGAGAATTGATCATCAAAGACAAATACAAAGATAGCCGTTCCTATACGACCCGACCCTCCAAAATCAAAAAGATAGCAGCCGTTTGCTAAACATATCGTTTTCGAATCATAAGAACCCTGCTCGAGGTCTAATGTCAGGCTCGTAGCATCAGAAGTCAAAGGGGTGATAACCAGTCGATTTCTTTGCCATCCAATGCTGAGCGGACTCAGGAGTACAATCTCATAGCAGTAGGTAGATGTCGGAGAAGATGTAGCTGTTGGGCCCCCTGTGGAGGTTGGACACAGTGTCGGACTTGAACTGACGCTGGGCGCTGGCGAGCATAAGCCATCCAGGATGCGTCCATCGACCAACAACAGCTCAGTAGTTGAGTATGGGTCCAATAATACGACGACAGATGGCGTCTTTACTTCACCAAGGGACCACGCAATTTCATCCCGACCACCGTAAGGATTGCCGACGATAGAGAAACTATGACAACCATTTTGCAAGCAGGCGCGCTCCTGCTCATAAGCTTGTTCAAAATTCAAAGTTCCAGACGCAACGACGAGCCCAGAATCATCTTTGATATGGTATGAATTTCCGAACCAGCCATCGCCAGCTTCGTCTTCGAGTGTGATCACATATTTATAGCAATTGTTCGACTCCTGGCAATTCACCAGGACCAGGGGAACCAAAAACCGTTCGAAGCCAATCATGAAACAACGCGGCACTAGCCAGCTCGTGCTTGATCGCGAGGCGCAAGCATCCCCGAGGTTATTGACTTTCGCAAGAGCTCCCCACTAAGGACGATTCACCGAAAAAGGCATCTTCATCCTCAAGGGGAAATCTTAATAGAATACCATCCATCAGATCATTAAATTCTTTATTTGGAAACATAAAATACAGCCAGCAGTTTTATTTAGCTGGATGATGATAGTGGAGTCAGTACTCCTACTAGTGGGCCGGGCTCGAGTTCGACCGGGCGCACAGGTCTGATTTCGGCAAGGTGATGCCGAACGCCGTGCGCGCGGGTCCGGCGTCCAAGAAAGGGGTGACTTTAAATTCGGTCCTGCGGACGGGGTCGATCGAGGGGCTGCATTACTACAGTGTCGCGTTGGTTTACAGCGAAGGGGGATACGGTTCGGACGTATCGATCGCGCGGCGGCGGCGGATCCGAAGCGGCCATGCGGGCCGCCGGAGGCGCAGAGCGCCCTGCGGGCGATTGTGCGACATGTGGTGCGACCGCATTTTGTGTCGCCGTTAGACCAGAACGGACCGATGGAGTTTATAAGTCTGGTAGCCTTCGGGCGGACTGGAGCCCATGTTGAAGGCAACACCCAGCTCCTAATCCAACTATATCATTCAATATCTAGTATCATTCCTTAATATGCGCAGGTGATATAGCCGCCAGGATATATCAGCCAGGATATTCAGGATACAGAGGAGAGAGACAGAAGATATATCTCGCACTCGAGTACGAGTTATCGTCTGTCGCTGACATCCTTTTCTATTATTGTGCGCCTGAGCGCACCCCAGGAAAATCTTCACCCATCCAGGTCCTAGACTAGGCTAGTCCCGAGCTGGGTGGAGCCCATGTTGAAGGCAACACCCAGCTCCTAATCCAACTATATCATTCTATATCTTGTATCATTCCTTAATATCACCTGCACTCAGGATTAGTCGTTTAGCGCCGGGCGGGCGATTCCGGAATCGATCGGCATTGGTCGTCGCGGCGCAGTGATCGGGTAGGGCCGGGCTGCTGGGTCGATCCGGGCATGGATATCGGAGACATTATGGATAGTGCGGCCCGGCGTCGACGATGGATCCGCGTGTTTCTTCCTTCGCCGCCGCATCGTGCCGCCAGCGCCACCGCGGGCTGCGCATTGCGCCGGCCGTGGTGGTGTAGGGTTTGGCCGCCACGCCGCGCGAGGGTGTGAACAGTTCGCGAAACAAACCCGCGCCCTCTACGCTCAGGCGTCAAGCTCGGCAGCGCGATGCAGTCGAGCGATTACCCCGACCCGCGGGAGGAGTATGCGAAGTTCCCGGAGGACGAGCTCATGGCTTTCTTCGGCCGCGCCGAGGATAGCGGCTACCTGACGATGGAGAACATTTTGAAGGGCCCGCTCGGCTTCTGGATGTTTACGCTGTGGATGTCACGGCATACGGAGAAGACGTTCCACAACGTGGGCCAGTTCATCGTCGAGGTTGCGACCCTGAAACTCGCGCGCGGGAAGCACATTCAGAAGCAGAAGGACAAAATTATGTCGAGCTTCTTGCCGGAGATGAACTCATCGGTGAACGAGATGAAGCCAGCGTACGTCGACAGCAACATGTGCCGCAAGGTGCGGCCGCCCATGGGCAACAAGACGCTGTATCAAACGCACATCAAGGAGGGAAACGTCGGCAACATGCAGCGTGAGTCCGCTAGCGAGATGAGCCCGTGCGCACCCATCGCGTCGACGTCGGAGTCCTTCTGGCCTGTGCTCATGGGCCGGTCTTTGGTCAACCCCGGCGCGCCAGCCCAGTCCCAGTTCGACCTCATCGAGGCGCTGCTCGTCGACTACTGCGAGAAGGTCGCGCTGCCGCTCTGGCTCAACAAAGGCACGAACCCAAAATTACTGGAGTACCTGCGCTACCTCAAGATCCAGCATGAGGTGCCCCCCACGGAGAAGACGTTCAACGTCTTCCGGACCATGGGCAAGGGCGGCTTCGGCCTCGTGAAGGGCTGCCGGACGTTCACGACGGGGCGCATGTACGCCATGAAGGAGATGGACATGAAGCACGTGAAGCAGAAGAAGTGCAAGACGCTCTGCGACCAGGAGCACTGGGCGCTGTCGAACCCGCTCGTGTGCGACTCGCCCTTCTGCGTGAACATGAAGTATGCCTTCAAGACGGAGGCCGCGCTCTGCCTCGTCATCGACCTCATGATGGGCGGCGACCTGTCGTTCCACCTCGACAAGGCCGAGGGCCGCAAGATGCCCGAGAACTTCGTGCGCTACTACAGCGCGCGCGTGGTTTTAGGGCTCGAGGTCATGCACGAGGCGAAGATCGTCTACCGCGATTTAAAGCCGGAGAACGTGCTCGTCGACGGCGACGGGCGGACGCGGCTCTCGGACCTGGGCCTCGCCGTGCCCCTGGCGCCGGGCCTCAAGGGCATCGCGGGCACGCCGGGCTATCTGGCACCGGAGATGCTCCAGCACAAACCCTACGACCAGTCCGTGGACTGGTGGTCCTTCGGCTGCATGATCTACGAGATGGTCAACGGCGTGGGCCCGTTCCGCACGGAGGAGGCGAACAAGTTCAAGGGCGAGACGAACCTGCAAAAGGCCGTGAACATGGCGACCTGTGAGATGGATGTCGAGTGGCCGAGCCACTTCAGCCCCGAGTTCACGGACCTGTGCAAAAAGATCCTGTGCCGCGACCCTGAGAAACGGGTCAAGATCAAGGACATCATGAACCACGAGTGGTACAAGCCGCTGGACTGGGAGCTCATGCGCGCGGACCCGGACCCGGAGGAGATCGGCGAGGGCAAGCCCGAGTACCCGCCCATCGTGCCGGGCAAGAAGCTCAACATCGAGGACGCGGGCGACATCGGCGAGTTCGAGGACCTCGGCGACGCCGTCACCCTCGTGCCCGAGGACTTCCCGGAGAAGGATTGGCTCTACGTGTCCGAGAAATACTTCCAGTCCGAGGTCGTCTGGCTCCTCCAGTTCCGCGAGACGGACGGCGGCGCGCCGCCGCCCGCGGCCGCGAGCAGCAGCGCGTGCCAAATCCTAGTCAATCAAGATAATAATTTGGCATAAAGGGTAAGTTGAGTGAGCCTCAAGCTAGCTAAGCTCCCTCTCTCATATGATATCCACCCCATAACCCCCCCCCTCGTTATAGGGGGCTATTCGGGGCGGTGTTAATAAAATAACCAATGGGAACTGGCACATTTATGCCGTGAGGAGCAGAAACCAGCCCCAAGTGTATGACAACTTTCCATTAGGCGGTTGCGCGTTTAAATTCAATTACACCACCATCATCATCATCATCATCATCATCATCGTCATCATAAGCGCCATCATCATCATCATCGCGTGCGGGGGTAAAGCCGGGGGGGGGGAGGGGGCTATACTCTCGGGTTATTGGGGGATATTCTCGGGATACCCCCGGTGATTTTGACCTGTAGCAAAGATATCCTCAAACTAGATGATGTGGCATAAAAACCCACATTGAACATTGACGTCAAGCAATAGCCACCGCTTAACTTGAAGGTAAGCGAGCAGATTATAGCCACAGCTTACCTTGAAGGTTAAGTGACCCGGTGGGCCATCGAATTTCGACGTCGGCATTTCGACTTGAGCATTCTGACAGACACGTGTGGATCATGGCAGCCCCCGAGAACACCTCCAATGGGTTTCCGAACACGGAGGTCGCCGGCGACATGTCCGTGGAGGCCCAGGACGTGCGCATCCGCCAGTACGAGCGCCTCTGCGAGAACTTGAAGATCCAGCGGCGCCAGTACGACTCCCTCAAGGAGGTGCACCAGGAACTCCTCTGGAGCAAGGCCGTGCTTGCGCATGACGCTGGGCTCGCCGTGGGGCTGCCCGCGGTCGACGAGTCGCTCGTCGAGGAGGCCCACCGCGTCGGCGACGTGGCGACGGGCGCGAAGCTCGGCTCGGGCGCGTGCAGCGGCGTGTTCGAGGGCACCTGGCCCGACGGGCGCCCGTGCGCCGTCAAGCGCATCTCGAAGCGGGACGCGAAGACGCGCCAGGAGGTGCGCAACGTCGCGTCGGAGCTCGAGGCGCTGCGGCTCCTGAGCGGCGCGCCGCACGCGCTCGAGCTCCAGGCGGCACTCGCGTCGCGCGACTACCTCTACTTCGTCGTGGAGCGCTTCGGCGAGGAGCTCTACGCGCTGCTGAAGCGCGACGAGACCGCGCTCACGTCGGCGCAGCAGGCGGGCGTCGTCCACGGCGTCGCCGCGGGGCTACCATTTAAATGACTTTTGGAATAGCAAGGTTTCCTCCATCCTGAGGGATGAACAAACAACAAATATCCATAATCATTCACCCAATAATCCAAAGCCTTTTTTACGAACTTATTCCAAATTGGAGTTCCTGTTCCGGTTCCTGTTTGGCCATTGAATGGTGGATTTCCAAAAACTAAATCAAAGCCATCTATATTCCAAATTGATTTTAAATTGATGCTAAGAGTATCCCCAACATAACTATTTAATCTGTATTCATTATTTGGGTCTAACAGTAATTTACATATTTCTACATTTTCTGGATTAATATCTCCAAAATATAAACACTCTTCTAATACAAATTTTTTCCGCTCACGAGTTTGCACCGCCCGGGCGATCTCACTTCAAGAATACTACTCTACTTCCAGAGGAGCTACCTTTCTCTGTTCTTTTGCCCGCCTTTCTTGCTCTTCCTCATTCTGCGGTCTCCACTCCGCGACGACCACTCTACTTCCATCCAGAGAAGCCTCCTTCCTCTGTTCTTTTCCCGCCTCTTCCTCATTCCAGCGGCGCCGACGCGCGGCGCCGACGACGACACACCTTAAATTTCCATCCATGGCACGTACAAGTTAGACATCTGGATTTCGCAAAATCGGGCGGCGATTTCGGGGGTATCCCGAGAATATCGCCCTCTCGTTCTCCCCCCCCGCTTTACCCCCGCACGGGGGTTAAACATGGGGGGGGAGAACGAGGGGGCGATATTCTCGGGATACGGGGAGAAAGAATTGCGCCGGCGGGCTGCTTCAGCAATTAACCCAGCCGGCAAAATGCCGTGTATTAAAACTATTATCAAGACGTCAGACTACAGTAAAAAAAATCAAAACAGGGCACTGTCTCAAGGCTAATCTTGAAAATGGTCTCAATACTCCTTGTCATAAGCAAAAGAAAATTGTGGGCTCAAATGTATATAATGTCTTCCTTGGTTGGTCTATCCAAAAACAAAATACTCAATAAAAAGAATCTAATGTGGCTACGCCACGCACGCTCATTTTGATAAAAAGTATGCTTTTTGCAGGGGGGTATGGTTTTTGAGTATGGTTCTTGTGGATAATTATTAGAGAAAAAACGACATTATTAAACCAGTAAACTATCCTAACTTTCTAATGGGGGAATCTCCAACATAAGGAACTCCAATTGCGCGTATGCTGACTTTACGTCCCATTTTGCATTGTTTCACGCCTTATTTGGAGGTTTGGCGTGTCGTGAAGCCTTGGATTCAGGTGGATTTACGATAGTCAAAGCCGCATTGGCAGTTGTCTTTAGCAGTAGTCTATGTAAACAGGATACTTGCTATGCAGTCTCCCCTGTCGGACATGAGTCAAACTTGGAGCCGCGATGGGGCGACCATTTCACAACGCAAAAAAAAAATGAGGCTACTTCACATGGCAATCTGATGTCAAAGACTCCATAAAACACCGCAAAACACATGCCGAGATCATGATGTTGATTAGAGGCAGCGTCCTAAATATCAAGAAACCCGATTGTGAAGTATCCGGTAATTTAGAATATGGGTTGCTATTCAGTTGAGTTGGGACTGGGAGAGCTGAAGGTCCAAATAAATATGCCACCACTATTCATGCCGTTTTACTTCGTTGATTCTCGATAGCAACACTACGAGTGCTTTTGCTGATGGGAAAGACTGAGTGAGGAAACTAACAATTTAGCGGCTATGATGCATTCGTTTGTCGAGTCTTGTGACTCTGTTATGAATGCACAACTCGTGTCACCTGTAGACATGGTTATGTCACGTGTCATGTCACCATGGCCCAGATGCAAGAGGGCTTCCTTGGGCAACCCGCGCATGTCCCCTCTGGTGTAAACACAAACGTCAGTGGAGCTTTCGGCGTAGTTTTTCTTGAAGCCAAAATTTGTGAGCTGGCGCTGAAATGATTCCAATCTGCGATGACGAAAGTAGGTCGGCATCGCTTCGAGAAGTGCAGAAGGAGGGAGGGGGATTATTAGGTTTCCAGAGTTCCAGGAAATTAAATGGGCTTCAAGCTGAGTGACTGCTGCATACAGTCGTGGACCGAATTCTTTTTTTGAGGAACAGCCCGGAATCAATTTAGGATGGCATCTAGTTCGCTTGTGATCTTGAATCAGACGCTGTAGCTGAGACTTTTGCTCGAGAGTGAGCACATGAATATTTTTCACGTCATTGAGCGTCGTAATTGTCTTTCGTTGCCACGACCCTCGCAAGAATTGCTCAAAGATGCACTCAACATGATACCAGCTTGTTTTTGAACATTTCATCTTTCTGCCGATACGAGGCGTACCACGGGCAATCGCACAACGGCAACTTCGCTCCCTACACTTC